CTTATTAAAGCACTACTAAATAATCTACAAAGCCTTTCCACATAATATTTACATAAGCAAAAGATAAGTTCATTCAATAATTTGCAATAGTATAAAGAAAGAATTATTTATAGGCCTTTGTAAGCTTATGGTAGCTCAAGGCTTATTTAAAAAGCCATTGAAACCAATAAAACAGTACGACATTAACTAGCGACATATCATAAAGCTAAAGAGAAAAGGCAATAAAAGAAATTCCAAAAACCACTTCTATAAATAGAAGATTTTGGTCAAGCCAAAATATGAAAGTGAAGTGATCTATAAAGCATGTAATCTTCCAATATCCCTCCTTCCTTCTTTGCTGTGTTCAACCCTCGCATCCACCAATTGATTTGAAGCTTTCAAATTAGTTTTCATTACAATTGAAGGGAATAGTGGTTATCTCTACACTTGGATAGTTATGCATGATGAATAGTCCAAATCTTAATATAGTGCCATAATTTGTGAGTTTGTCATTCACATTTGTGTTAGTGTTGTGTCAATATATTGTTATCATTCTAAATGATTTTGATAACCTATTGAAATGAGTTGTCACGACCCGGCCCGGGTTTGGAATTAAGCAAGTCGAAAAAAGACGGTCGGCCAGTGGGAATTAAATTTCACTTATTTATTTTATATAACTAACTATTAACAAATAAAAGAGTCACTAATTAAATTAAATTAAATATTATAATTAAATTTATCTCATTACAGATTGTCTACATCTTCTATAAACATTTTCGTTTTTATCGCTCATCTTTTATAGTTTAATAAAACCTAAATTAGTTTAAAACAACTATAAGTTAAACAAAACTAGTGAATACTCGTACTTCTAAACTATAGTAATACAAGGAAAAAAAATACAATATGCATGTCACTTAAATTTTTAAAAAATCAATATAAATATTTCATATTTTAATAATATAATGTTATTCGATGAATCTTACAATATTAATAGCATATTTATATCATTTTATATCTATATAACCGTCATAAGAGGATCGCATAAAAATTATACCAATTAAGGTATTTCAATATCAATATCTTTTTCTATTTATGTGCAAGAGCACCTTAGCGTTCAACCACTACTACCATAAAAGGGTGACTTCATCATAATCAGACGTGCACATACAAATAGTCAATATAGATATATCATTTATGTGTTCATTGCATTCAATTAAATATATTGTATATATCATTTACCAATGCAAGATAGTAAGTACCTACAAACATATAACTTTCATAACAATGAGATAAATAAATAAGAGAATATATAAATCAAAATAAAACTTATACGAATATGATTAACTATTAATGCAAAATAGTTGAGAAGAACCAAAATATTATAACACTTTAAAAGTACAAGTACTAACTTTGATAATGATTAATATAAACATTTCAGATAGCCCGAGGGATCTCCCTCTTCTTAGCACAAAGCTTCTTCACCTTCAGCTTGATCGCTCTTGGTCAAGTGTCTATGCACAAGCAGGAACTCCCGCACTCGCCTCCTCCTTAGCGGCATCACCCTTGTTACTGTCGATACTACTGTAAGCTACAACGTTATCTATCTTCGGTGCGAGGTAGCTTACACTCGTCTCTCGCACTAGCCGATCAACCCTCTTGGTAAGTTCCTACCTCCCTCATACAACAATTTATAGGTTTCGACTTCCTCGCTTTCTCTCCCCTCTGCTCGTCTCCTTATTTCCACTTCTTTGATTCTTCATTTCCTCTTCTGAAAAGCCGAAAAGAGGCGTCACAATCTTCCCCACTTATCAAATTTTGTCCTCAATATTTAAAAATAGATCACAAGTCATCTTTCCTTAAGCAGCTCAACATGAACTATACATAATTTTTTTATCGGGCATACTTCTTCATAATTTTGGGTGTAGCCCTATGCCTAAATGGATATACTTAATAATTTGAGTTAGCTTGATTATTTTATTTTAATTATTATTAAAATTTTATTATAATTACCTAGTCTCTTTCATCAAAATTATATTAATTAATCTAAAATCTTGGCTATGATATCACTTTTGTTACGACCCGACACAGAGCTTAGAATTAAACAAGATGGGAACTAACGATCGGACAGTAAGAATTATTTTTTACTTATTTGTTTTTTCATAACTAATTATTAACAAATGAAATAGACATTAATCAAGTTAAATTAAAATAATATAATTAAAATTACCTCATTACAGGTTATCCGCACATTCTATAAATATTTTTCAATATATCGCTAATCTATAATTCTAGTAATTCAGCACGAAATGTTAGTTTAAAACAACAATAAGCTAGAAAAAATTAATAAATTCCCATAATCCTAAACTATAAAAATATAAGGGAAAATAACGCAATTTAAATTTCAGTTAAGATTTTAATAAATCAATATAAATATTTGATATTTTAAGAATATGATGTTATTCAATGAATCTTACAATATTAATAGCACATTTATATCATTATATATTTGTATAATATATACAAGAGCACTGTTTGATAATTATACCAGTTAAGGTACTTCAATATCAATATTTTTTTTTCATTTATGTGAACAAGTAACCTATCATTCCCCAATTGGTACCATAAAAAGGTGACTTCATTACAGTCAGTCATGTACATATAAGCAGTTAATATAAATATATCATTCATGTGTTCATTGCATTCAATTCAATATACTATATATAGCATTCACAAATGCATGATAGTAAGTAGTTACAAACATATAATATTTATAAAAATGTAACCAATAAATAAAAGAACATATAAATCAAAATAAAACTCTTATATGTATCATTAAATGTTAATGCAAAATAGTTGAGAAGAACCAAAATATTGTCATAGCTTAAAAGTACAAGTATTCACTTTGATGATGATTAATTTGTAATTTGATTTATCTTGACGTCGACTCTTCTAGAATTGTAATATAAACATAGTATTCATGATCTTTGTGAAGTCAATCTCAAGAGTTGTGGAAAGCACTTCGGTATAGAGGTCTGATCATAAAATTTTTTGTCGCATATTGTACAATTAAATCATTAAAAACAATGACGATAAAATTTGTGAGATGATGTCAAAGTTATCACTTTCACATAAGTACTTCTCATGTCACAATAACTTGTTTGTAGAGCTCTTGACCTTTTACATGATATGATATTAACATCTTGAATCATTTTCTCATTATTTGGATAAAAAAATTTCATCATCCTAGATCAAAACTATTTCACCAAATAAGTTGAAGTGGAGCCTCTGACCAAAGTAACTTAGTCAAATATTAAATATGTCTGAAAAATAAAATATGTAGGTTTGTCCTCCAAACCATAATTATGATAAATAATGGAAACAAGCTCTGTAGAAAGACGTCTACTTGATTCTATCAAGAACACAAAATCAAGCTCATTCACAAAGTTGTAAGTCACTCTCAGACTACTAGCCAAAGTGAGGTGACTAATTGAACCATCTTGATGGAATTAAAGACTCGCTTAAAAAAACTAATGTCAGTGCATTGACAAGATAAATCATGTACTTTTGGCATACCAAACAGCTATCAAAACACTAGCATGAGAGACATAGTCCATTTATGCTTTGAAATGGAATGTTTCATTATTTTCAACATTGAGTCCTGAGCCTACAGGTACAGATTTTAGACCTTATCTCCAGTGATTACAATCTCTATAGTAACATGATTTTGTTTCCTCGAGTTCTAGAACCTAGTCATACTTACAAATTGTCACTTAACAACAACAAATAGTATGCTACTACAGTCAAAATAAAAGCTTCCCCTATAATCAATAGCGACCTCTGGTTTCATAGCATCGAAGCAGGAAATAAAAAGTCTCTAAAGATCAAGCGCTCTCCTTCCATAGGAGGAACCCTTGTAATTGCAATAGCCATCAAACAAAATACGTTTAACTCAAAAACTAGCCGAACATGATGCTAGATTGTGCTAGGAACATGGAGAAACACAAAATATTCTTCAATGTAAAAAATTTTCGCTCTGATGCTTTTGTAATGGTATCAGCAAAAATAATATAAAGTGGTAGCTCCTTCTTCGTGTCATGCGCTCATTTTGGTAATTGGATTACGAACAACTCTTCCTCGTAATATTTTTTCTAATAAACCCTCTCTAAAAAAATGATGGCAGGAGCACTGGACGTAACCCCAAAAAAAATCTCTAGGATTGGCCCGAAAATGGGGACATGGAAATCAAGGCAATACCTAGATCATGATTGCAGCATCTTGTTGGAATGCTAAACAATGCACGTCTGTTGAGGCATTGGCTCAGGCCATAACCCCCAAATAAATCTATGGGATTAGCCTCAATATGCGAACACTTCCTCTTCCAAACTATTTTCCATGTGCAGCCTCCTCTTCAATATCTCTACGAGAAAGGGCTTGCTGTGAGGATGCTTCTTCCTTCTCTACAAAAAGTTGAAAACACACCAAACCACTTCACTGCTTTATATCTTCTTCTTCCTTTAACCAGCCAGATGGTTCGGATTGCAGCATAAGCTTAGGGAACTTACAACTTACATTCGTCCAAACTACATAAAAATGGAAACAAAAACCTTAAGCATTATTACTTATTTAAAAAAGTAAAAGAAACCTTAAATACTAGCTCGCCAACATGATAATTATCATCCTTCTTCAAAACCCGTCTGAACTGCAGGTTACAGAGAGTTTCCTTATTTTGATGTCAGCAGTCCGAATGTCAAAAGTCCACAATACACAGATCCAGCACAAACAATATGACGAAGAACCCTTTCCAATAATACCCCGGTGACTCCATAAACCCTAGAGAAGAAAACAATTTCCATCCCCGGACTCGCATCTAAAAGCTAATCACGCCAATCCAAACTCGTACCCAGGCCAAATAGAACCACCTAAACCGTTTAAATCAAAGCACCTTCCTTCCCAAACAAACTCCGCTATAAACTCAAATAATCAAACAAGCTTGGATCAAAAGAAAGTAGAATAATAGGCACCTTTCTCCTGGTTCGCCGTACAAGTAATGTTTCGGGAGTCGGCTGACTATAGATCGGAGCAGCGAAGAGGAAACCTAGGGTAGTTGTATTAGATAGACAAAAACCAGATGATGACTTCAAGGATCCGCAAAGCGCCTCCGCTGCCTACCTCTCAAAGGGGCACAAGTGTTTTTATATCGAGTTGTTATTTGCTGACGAGTGGCGAGTGAGAAGACTTTGCCCTTCGTCTTCTTCTTCACCGCCCAAGCATCTCAGAAGCAGCTTAATTCAACGTCTGAATCAGTCAAAAGTAGTCTGCAAATTGGACTTCAGAACTAGTAATCCAAGCCTAATCTCATTAGTTGATTACGACGGCATCTATAACCTCGGATGAAGATATGGTAAGCGGCCATTTGCATAAATACCACCCAACTTTATATATTTACATAACACAGAGTAAATTTTTCACATGTAAAGATTGTAGTCAACCACCAACAAAACTTTTATAGCATAACTACAACAGTTGCAGCAAAATTGTCTATAATTAAGAAGAATGATTGACTGCTATACATTCAATTGCACATTTGATTCATTTGATTGACTCGTACCAGATGAGTTTTTTTCTCTTACGAGTTTTTCATGTAAAATTTATGTTTTTTTTCTGATTTTATTTTTTTAAGCGAAAAAATATATATTTTAACCTATAACAAAGTTTTCTCCGCATGACTTATGAAGGCTTCCCATTTGATTCAAGTTTAGGTTCATTTATTTGAGGCTCGAACTCTAGATTAAATATTGTAGATGAAAATAAAAAAGGACAATCATATACATAACACTAAAACACTGATATTTACAAAACAAACACTGATATTTGAGGCCCAGACTCTAATGATATAAAAACTAATCTAATCTGAGTCTAATCAAGCCTAGATCAAGTCATTAAATCACTATTTGAAAATTTCTGGATATATTTCAAAGGTCAAACGGATGTCGACACTAGTAAGCCTACATTCGAATCGAGCGTCTCAACAATATGAATCTAACGGGTCTAAGATCACTCAATTCTGACACCGTTAAGGCACTCGTGTCCATCAAATGTTGTATGATCGTAGGAAACTCTCTTGACTGTCCGATTAAAATGTTTCATATTCATGCATTAATGACACCCAAAACGCTATAAATAGACACCTACCCCTCTCATGAGGAGGATTCTTAAAACTAGAGAGAGCCTGAGACCTTGAGGAGGGACTGTAGTCCAGAATCACCACCGACCATTGTACCACCGCAAACCATTGTCGACCACCACTAATCGAACACCTTCAGTCAATGTTATAACTTGAAAAATCTAGTAATCATTTCTCGTTTGTGAGAAGAGCTCATCACTACAGTTCATGTGCCAACAACAACCTACGTGGTCAAAGCTCTTACTCCCAACTCCGGCCCCCCGTGGCCTGCGGATGTCATTTATATTTGCTCCGGCGGCCTACGTGGTTCACAAATCGTACAACTCCCAACTATGGCCCCTAAGACCTATGGACGTCATTCATATTTGCCCCAACGGCCTACGTGATTCATAACCCGTGCAGCCCCTCGACTCCAGCCCCCTACGGCGTACAGACGTCATTAATACTCGCTCCAACAGTCAACGTGGTTCACAGCTCATGTGGCTCGTGACTCCGGCCCTCGTAGCCTACAGACGACATTCATACTTGCCTCAACGACCTACGTGGTTTAAAGCTCTTACAGCTCCCGACTCCTGTCCCCGCAACCTAGGGATGTCACTCATACTCCTCCCAGCAGCCTACGTGATTCACAGGTTGTACAGCTTCCGACTTTGGCCCCCCGCAACCTACGAATGTCATTCATACTTGCCTCTACAACCTACATAGTTCACAACTCATATAGCTTTTGAATATGGTCCCCACGGTCTATCGACGTCACCACTACTCACCACTACTGCCTATTTGGTCTACATCTTCTGCAACTGCTTACTACGGCTTCTCTATTCAATCAACGCTTCTAAGCAACCATCTACAACACTCATGAAGGACTATTATCTCCATAAAAATCAACAATGACTCTTGCGAAATATTGTCGCCAAGAACTACAGCTGTTATGTAACTTTTTCATTTCATCTTCCCTAATTTAAGAGAAAAATGAACATGTGTACTCTTCATTCATAGTGTATTATCTCAACTGGGCCAGACCCCATAGTTTTTTCCCCCATTAAGAGTTTTCAAAATACAAAATTGAGGTGTCTTCTCATGTTTACTTCTCTTCTTGTGGTTGTGTGTGTTGAATTCTCGTGCAACGCTAAGACGATAATCCATTAATCCACCGCCGTGAATTTTCAGCACATTATGCACTCATCATTCATAGTATATTATTTCAACTAAGCTAGGTCTTGTGGTATTTTCCCCCTTTACGGGTTTTTCATGTAAAAATTGAGGTGTATCTTTCTGCTTACTTCTCTTCTTTTGGCTATGTGTGTTTAATTCTCGTGCAACACTAAGACGATAATCAATTACTCTATCGCCATGAATTTTCTAGCACGCATCATTTTGGCCCCGTCTGTGGGAAACGAAACACCATTCAACACTATCTTCAGCTCTGAGATGTTGATCCCGTACTTTATTTCCTAATGATGTATATCATCCAACTGACGAAGGAATCTTCTTTGCATCTTGAAGATCATCCCTAAGCATTTTTCAATGTGGGGGGCAACGTTCACCGCAATTTTAAAAGGTCATTCACATCAACATTCCGGGCACAATTGTAGTGGGGTTGTCTTCTCGTATCTTATTCAGACATAGGGTATTTCTCAACTTCTTCCAGGATGGGAGTCAGCCTTCACTGTAGTCTCGAAAGATTGTTCATGTTAACATTCAGGGCACGACTGTGGTGGGGAAGTCATCCCACATTTCCTTCAGATTACAAAGTTTGCGAAAAATGCTCTTGTACGGGGGCTATCTTCATCGCAAATAACACTTCCTCTATGCCCTCTCATCGTACTGGGTTTCTTCTTCACCTATATCAAGAAGCTTATCTCTTCAAGGCCCGATACATGGGTTGTTTTATAAGCTCATGTGGAAACACAGTCATCAGATGAGCAATAAATTCAAAAGCAGGAAGGATTCAAAAGCAAGCAACTAATAAGTTATCAAATATTTTTCTTAAATATGACTGTAACCATATTTTCAAGGAAACATATGGTCCATTGCAATCCACGCCCTAATATTGAGGAACGCAAAGCATCTCTGACACCTCATTTTTAAGCTTAATCGAACCCATGAGGACTTGATTTGACCTCTTTCATTACAGACTACAGTCATCAAACAAAAGCTTTGACATACAACCTCAGATAGATCAAAAATCCTTGATATATTTCCTTTGACCTCTTCCATAACAAGTTAAGCGATCAAGCAAATGCTTCGACCAACAACCTAGGATAGGTCAACCATCCTCAGTGGATTTTATATGACTTTGTTACAGGTTAATATTGTCGAGCATCTTCATTTATATAACTCAGAACTGTTCTTACATCCTCAATGAATTCTTCTTTCAACCATGCTTCTAAAAGTTAGGCCCAGAATACAATACTTGATAAGAAGCTAACATGCTACTGGAAGACGAGCCCAAAAGGGTATTCGCTGAAAAACCTCAGAAGGTTGCAAGCCTTAGAAGGTCAAGTTCAAGCTCTTATATGACATAGGGCTGAGAGGGCACAATCCAGAAAGACACAAACAACAAAAGACACGCGATTCTTCATTTTATAAAAATTTGTGTGCTAATTTTAATTGTAGAATTTTGCACAATTAAGAAGTCACGACAACCATAAAAGAAACAAAAAAATATATTGTCATCATCTACAAATGTCACATCAGATAATAAAAAATGCTACAAAGACCAACATATACTTGTACAAGAGTCAAAAAAAATCCGTTCATCTTTGAGTAGAGTCGACATTGACTCCTTAAAATTTCAGTATTTTTGATGATAGTCAGAGGATCTTCAAATATCGTCACCACATAAGCATGAAAATATTCCCCTCAAAGCGCAACAATAAAGCTACAACATTTCTTCATCACTTCTTAAATGCGTGGCATAAACAAGAAAGAATATCTCGTTGCTTGCTTGTTACACAGGAAAAAATTGACTTTTCTTTTCACTGCAATAAGAAATAAAATCTTGTTGCTTACCTGCTATGCAGGGTGGGGATGACTTTACTCTTTGTCGCAAGTATGCCTGCAACTTTAGAGCGCAACTCAACATCACAATTATGCGCCACAACTCAGCATCGCAACTCTATGTCGTAACTCTGCACCGCAACTTTGCACCTCAACTCTGCACTACTACGCATGACAACTTTCTTCTTCTTGGGAAATCATGGTATCAAATATTAGTCTTGAATTTAACATGTAACCTCAACGGCCCGCCGCAACGCGTTGCCACGATGCTCCATTGTGACACATCTCCATAATGCACCACCGCAACGCATCGCTTCGCCACGTTGCCCTGCCACAAAGCATTGGCCCAATGCACCGCTGCAACGCCCGTTGCGACGCTCCACCGTGATGCACTGTTGTAACGCTTTGCCCCATCGTAACGCGTCATTGCGACACATCGCCTTGACGTACTATTGCAACGCGTCTCATCGCCACGACACCCCGCCGCGACTCCCCACCGTGTCGCCCTGCCGTGATGCCCAGCCGCAACACGCCCGAAACATGCTGTCGTGATGCCCAACCACAACGTGTCTCCCCCTCTACCCTCTCCTTTAGGCCTATTTATAGACTCAAAAAGGGTTTTGACCATTAAATGCTCATTATTATAGACTTCAAAAAGAAGTGCAACAATTAAATATTAATTATTATTGACTTAAAAAAAGCACAACCATTAAATGTCCATTATATATAT